TTTCTTGCAAGAAACATTTCATGAAAGAAGCAGCTTCTCCTCTGCCTAAGCTGTGACAAATTGTCTGGTGAACACTCAAATGAAAGATTCAGAACCTGCATTATTAAAGAAAACAACTGATAGAAGATCTGGTTGAAAGGAGAAAAACAGTCAGCCACTTTAGTCCACAAACACGCAACACACATTTACAGCTAATTATTATGACTTCATTATTTTCGTTGAATCGTGTCTTTTTTAGGTTTAGCAAAGCAGGAATGAAACTGAGGCTGAGCGGTGAGAGTGTGAAGTGAAGCTTGTGCGGTTCACAGAAATAACAATCTATTTTTTTASTTTAGTACAAGTTCAAGCCTCGTTCCCGGAGATAAGTCTACATTATTGACCACCACARCAGCAGCAGACTAGGCAGCCAGCGCGTGTTGTTGAGCTCCGCGCCCCTCAGCGGCTCGTGCGCGCACGCCGTATCCGAGCGAGAACGMTCCTCCCCCTCCTCCGTCACACCCACGCACCTCACAAGTGTTYGTTTTTTACTTCKCATAATTTGACCCCGTCAAATGCGGGACATTATTTCAATTTGCGGGACGGCGGGACAAGAKTGAAAAATGCATGACAGTCCAAATCAGGACATCTGGTCACCCTAGCTGAGGCATGAAGGAGTGTCACAGGTAAGCTTGCTTCAACTGCTTTTTACGTCGTGGTCTCATTTCCGGACTCAGGCATTAAGCCAATATTTCAGTTAAAATACATAAGTAAAAATATTTATCCGAGTATAGTACTACCTCCAACTTTATGGATGACTTTATGGATTTAATTTTTTACATATTATACTTGAATAAATACGGTAGTTTGATAAAAAAAATATTGTTTTACCTATTAGCTTTACAACACTTATATAATAATTATTATCTCTTCTCTGACTTTTACCATGCACAGGGCCATATTCTGTCACCTAATAATAATTGACCTGGAGCAAACTAGTCACTCTCTGAAACAGCAACCGTGAAGACTCATGTCTTCCATAACAAAATGTGGTCTAACAGAGTGTGATAACAGAGTGTGGTGAGAAGGCAGGGCCATTTGGATCTCCAAAGCCAGGTGTTAGCACTTCATCTCTCTGCCTCATCAATAATTGACAGAAGCAAACCAATCAGAACAATTTGCTCCCCACAGCGAAGTGCTAGAGCAGCCTAACACCAGTGAATCATTAATGAGGCAATTAGCTGAAATGGTTAGATGGTTAGACCTCAGTGGCACTACTCCTATGATTCCACAATGCAATGGTTGTCCTTAAACAGGAACTGCAGATGATAGACAGATACAGGCCGATACAAGCAAAGGAAGACAAAAAATAAATAAAAAAAACAGAGTCACACAGCAGTGCTTAGACACAAAGCCCAGTTTTCTAAAGGTTGGTGAGCAACTTGGTTCGGCATTGCCAGCTCTCCATCTGTTCACCACAACTCAGAGGGCCAATAATAGGAACAAACCCAATTGGCCATTACCATGGGAGATTGACCTTTATTGGTTGTTGTTACCACTGCACAGACTGACAGAAGCTGTCTCCTGGGTGATTCAAGTGTGGGAGAGCCTTTATGGACATGGGTGAAATCGACCTTGGTGACATCACTCAAACATGGGGAAAGCAACAACAATAATAGCTAAAATGGAGTTTGTCTTTGAACAGCAGAGATCCTGGATTGTTGTTTGTGAGGAAAATCAAAGTCCCAAGGGAGCTGCTCACAAAGCCCCATT